CCCCATGTGGAAACCGCCCGACACAACCGATGCGCTTCCCCTCGGAAAAGGACCGAGCAGCGTCAGGAGGCGCCAGGGGCAGTTCATCTTGCACCGGATCGTGAACAAACCAATCTTGCGAGCGACCATGCCCCCACAAAGAGGTAAACTTGGCGCGTGGGCCCCCTGGCCCCCCACGACCCCGAGGGCAGCGGCAAAGTCGGCGCGGGGGGTTCCGACACTCTCGCGCCGCGGGCCCACGGCCTCCCCGTGGCAGGGCAGGCCGAGGAGGAAGGCCCCGAGCTGATCCCAGAAAGCTTAGACTGCGCACCCGAGGCGGGGGCCACCTCGGGAGGCGGCTGCTGGAGCGCAGGCAGCACCCTGCGGGTGACTTCCTCGCTGGCAGCCTGCCGGTGGCCCAGAGAGTCCCCAAGCACGTTAGAGAGCCATCTGCCGGCGAAAAGCTTAGGACAGGGGGGGGCCTCAGACGGGGCATTCGGCTTCCGACGCAGCGCAGGAGACTTACTTCCGACGATCGACTGTGCAGCATCTTTCGGGTAACGAAACATGACATAAACATAAACACTCGGAGGTCCGTGTGGATTTCTCGGATCCGCGCTGGGCTCCCCTCTCTGGCGCGCGGAGCGCGCCAAGGAGCGGCGCCGGAGGCGCCGCCAGGGGGCCCCAGCGCCGATCCGAGAAATCTGCGCGGACCTCCGAGTTTTTGTATCTATGTCATCCTTCGTTCCCCTACCCTTGCCACGGCCCAAGGCCGACACCCGCAGCGAGACCGGCAGGGCAGTCGGGATCACCCGCACGTGCCCGAGCGCGGACATATGGAACCGTGGGCCTCGGGAGCGGGCGGCGCGGCGCTCAACCAGGGGGCCTTGGACGAGAAGGCAAGGGTGACCATTTCGGCCAAGTCCGAGATTCCCAAAAAGGGGGCGGACTTGAGCCCAAATTTCTACGGAGGAGGAGGAGTAAGAGGAGGAGGGGGAGGAGGAAGAGGAGGAGGAGGAGGGGCGCAGACCGCTGTGCCCCCTGCAAGGCACGAGTGCCGAGCAGGGGGTCCGATGTCCAAGGGGCTCGACAGTCCGCGCGAAGCGCGGCTCGAGCGAAGGAAAAGGAGGCCCCTCCCTACCCTCGCGGCGGCGCGCGCGCCCGCCTCGCAGTGCACAGTCTTGCTGAAATAGGAGACGATGTGCAGCGATGGCGGCGCGGCAGCAGCGGCGGCGGGGGGGGAGGGCCCAAAAAACTAAACGAGATTAGTCGGAGCCCGAGCTGGATCCGTCTCCAAGCGAGAGGAGGAAGGGCCCTCGTCGGGGCAGGAGGCGGCAGGAGAGGGAGCACGATTATCGTCGCGTCCTTCCTGCACGCAAGAGGCGGGCCTGCCCGCATCCGTGGGGCCAGCGTGGCTATCTTCACGCCTGCACGGCCGAACAGCCGAGGGGGCGGTAAGCTTCGCGCCAGTCTTCGGATGCAGGCCGGCCTCAATCCTCCGAATAGCCATTCGCTGGTTCGCCTTCGTAGAGGCCACGGCAGAGAAACCAACACATCTAGCGGCTAACTTCACAAAATTGCCAAGAGTGCCGTTTCCACCGCATTTGCGGCAGCAAAAATAATCACCATTTTTAAACACATCGTGACCGAGGGCCGAAAATTGAGGGTACCTGTCGGGCCCACTGGGCCCCGAGGGGAGCTCAGGAGTCAGCGGGCCCTTCACCCCCAGATCGTCGGGCCCCTCGGTCTGGCTGCGCAGCTCAGCCTCTCTCTGGGAGGCTTCCATAGCCAGCTGCACGGCCTCGGAACGCATCAGGGCGAACCCCTGGTCGGTCGCATGGGCATTCCACCATTCAGACGCAGCCAGGAGCTGCACGGGGCTGGCCATGCAATCACGAGTGGCCCTCTGTGTGAGCATGGCTTTGAGAGAAGTCTGGCTGCGAGCAAATCTGCCACATACACGGCACCTCCAAGTGGCGACCTTCTGGCTGTGCCAGATCTCGTGACTGGTGATCGACAACTTAGGGGGAAGAGGGAGGCTCGAGGAAACCAGAGGCTCATCAGGATCACCAGACCACGCTTGAGACTGCAACAGCCTTTGAGCAGCCCATGCCAAGAACCTAAGAGTGGACTTATGATACCTATATTCTCCCGCCAAGGCCTTACAGAATCCATCCGCGTAACTGTGGGACGCCGAGCCGAGCTTCGCGAAAAAATCAGCCCATAGGTTTCCCGCCCAGTGCTCAAGAGAGACGCCTTTTTCTACAGCGTCATCGAGCGAAAGGTGGGCGGGGCACCAAACAAATTGGGGGGGATCGTGCTGCTGGTTCCTGAAAATGTCCGCCCAAATCGACGCGTGTTTGGCTAGACCAGCAGCCTGCTCTGGGTCCCAAGCGTTGCCTTCCCGAACGCTGGCCTGCAGGTCGGACACAATTTTTTCCACCGCAGGCGCAAAGTGCAGTGCCTGACGTATCGACCACCGCTCCGCACGTCCGATGGTCTGGCGCACGCCAGGCAATGCGCCGAAGACGGCACGAACTGGAATTAAATCTTGATTTAATTGGACAGCTGCCCAGCCAGCCCGAGCAACCTCAGGGAGACTTGACTGGAGGCAGCTCCCATCGACGAAACAGGTGGGCCCCCACGGGCCTGAAACGTTCCCCCAGAACTGGACCTGAGGGAGGGCCTCGGGGGGCTCCAAAGCCACAGAGAGTGAGGGGACCCCATAGGTGAGATAAGTGGTTTCGGCCTGTGGGTTCCCCAAGATATCTAGACATGAATTAATTAGAGCATTCCTATGGCTCAGAATCTTGTCGGGGACCTGCTCGCCAAGCCCGTCAACTCCGTCCAAGACCAAGCCTGCACAGTCGTACCAGATGTGCCCGTAGGAGCCCAGGGGAGCCTGACACACACGACATTCAGGGCTTATGCGGTAACCCTGGGAAGCACGCACACCTGGAAGAGGAATAACATCCGCCATGACCGCCGAGAGAGCTCCAAGTTGCCGCGGACACCGAATCGCTTGAAGACCTCCTCTCAACGCTCTGTGCCAGACCTGCTCGGTGCCCTGGGACGTGGGCATGTGATGAAGCAGCCGACGATGTTGCCACCTCTGAATACCTTCTATCATGTATAGCTTGACGTCGTACGGGCAAGTCGTGACTAAGTTTATCGTGATATTAGTGTCCGAGAGGAACGTGTGGGCGCTGGTCATGGCCCAGCCGATACGATGAAGGGAAAGCCAGCAGGCCGACATGGGCCCCTTCGCGATCTGCCACGTCGGGTTGTCGTCGAAGTAAAGACGTAGTTGGGCCCAGGCCCGCTGGGCCCTCCCAAGACAAACTCTGCTGTCCCAGATCCAGGCCGCGTAGCGGAGGCATATGCTGAGCGTGCAGTCGAATATGGGATCGTAGTAGGGGTCGCGGTGAGCGAGGAGATACGCTGTGACTCCACCATGTTTTTTACCCCCGGCGAGGGTCGAGGCCAACTGTCTGAAATATCGAAGAGAAACGTCAGAAACTCCAGAGACACCGCCACCATGCCCAGCAGCTGGTAGCGCTCCCGTTCTGAACAAGAGCGAAGCCTTGCGCCCAACGGCGCTGCGCAGCGCCATGTACTTGCGACGGCGCTGCTTCAGAGACTTGAGGCGTGCCTTCTCCTGGAGCCTCAACACTTTGCCACCAGCTAACTCATGCCCCAGGTTGCGCATCCATGGCCGAAACTGCAGTTTGAGCTGCGCCGCTCCGTGCCGAAACAACCTCTTGGACCTTCCCGAGGCCGCCACGATACCAGACTTCTTGGGCTGGGTGTTCAGCCCTAATACCTGGGCGTCGTACCTGAAGATCCGTACAGCCTTCTCTAGCTGCGGCAAGGTGTCAGGCGTCGTGGCGACCAGCTGCAGCGACACGTCATCTACTAACGCACGCGGCGTCACACACGGGGCAATCTGGTTGAGGCGCTTGAGCGCCCGAAAAGTCAGCACGAACAACATGCCTGTAGCATGGCTGCATCCAGCTAGGATGCCTTGGAAAACCTCGAGGGACTCGGAAAGGCTTCCGAATGCCTTCAGACGCCGTGGCTGCCTGTACAAGTCCACAAGCATCCACACGAGGCGTGGCGGAAAGCTGACAGCCTCTGCCTCCTTGATGAGTTGGGCAGGGTGAACCATTTCGAAGCACTTGATCATATCAAGCAAAACTGAAATCGAGATTTCGCCGAGCAGGGACGCTAGTTCTGCGGACAGGTTGTGCGCGAAAGCGCTGTCCGTGGAGCTATGCCGCTTCCTGGTGCCCCAGATCTCGAGACAACCATGCAACTCTTGCCAGCTACAAGTTACAGGCTTCCTGAGTTTGCCCCAGACTCGGCAGAGAGTGTTAATTAGGGCTATCAAGCGGACTCCCCCGTCAGGCTTGGCCAAACGCACCATTTCCGTCCAAACCCGATCGTTGGGCCAAGCGAGCTGGGCCTCACATCCGTTGAACAAAAACGCTATGCCTTCGTAGGCTCCTTGGCTGAGGTGGAGCAGAGCCCTGGGCGCAATCCGCGAAGGGCCTGCCGCCGTGTTGATTTTAAATTGCTGGATGCAATCCTCAACCTCTAAGGCCGTGATGCAAGGGAGCGAGGGCCAGGCGTGGGCCCCATCGGGGAGCGGAAGCTTGGAGCAGTCGTGGGTCATCCAGATGTCAGCCCATGGCTGCATCTCTTGATCAGCGAGCTGGAAGGGTTGGGACTTGGAACCAGCAGCAACGACCTCCTGGACCGCTCGCACCTTGCTGAACCTATGGGCCTGAGACGCTCCTCTCTGAAAAGCTTCTCGGGCCCAGGTCAGCCAAGCTGAGCTCGCGGCGGCTTCGGCAGCCCCGATCTTGGCCTTGGCGGTGAGATACACATGCGTAAGGCATTTGCCGAGGTGCTTCGCCCAGCGCAAAGCCGTGGCCCAAGCCTTGGTGTTGGGGTCCTTAAGGAGGAGGAGGAGGAGGAAGAGGAGGAAGAGGAGGAGAAGGGCAGGCCAGATCGGGCGCCTCGGCCACTCTGAGGTCCTCCGAGGCCATGACGGCGCCGCTGGGCTGAGAGTCCACGAGCTCCTGCCAGTGGGCGCACTGCGCCGACAGGGAAAGGGAGAAAGAGGGGGGGAGGAGCAACAGCAGGTGTAGGATGGGCATGTTGGCTCCTTCCTCCTCCTCCTCCTCCTTCTCCTCCTCCTCCTCCTCCCTCCTGCTTCCTCCTCCTCCTCATTCCTCCTCGCTCCTCCTCTTCTTCCTCCTCCTTCTTCCTCCTCCCTCCTCCTCCTCCTCCTCCTCCTCCTCCTCCTCCTCCTCCTCCTCCCGAAACGAGAAAACACAACCTCATGTTGGCTACCAGGAGGCCTCGCCCGCTGGGCGAGCGCAGGCCCGCGACCGCGGGCGGAGCGCGGCGCTGGCGCGGGCAGGGAACGCTGTCGTACGGCGGAGCGCAACAGCAACAGCAGACGGTCAGGAATCCCTGGGTGGGTGGTCTAGGGCGGTCATTGTTCCCTGGGGCGGCAGCAGCAGCCCTCTGGGCGTGGGTGGTCTAGGGCGTTTCACTGTTCCCTGTTAATATACACCCCCTCCCCCAGGCGACTGGCAGCCAACCAGGAACGCTGTTGCATAGCTGTGCGAACCAGCATACGGTCAGGAATTGGTTTGCACAGCGTGTCGCGGCGACGATCCAGGCGACACGCTGTGCCTTGCAAGCGGGTAGCGTGTGGTTCCGCTCCGCGGGAAGACGGTGACGCTTGGGAACGGGAGGGTGGATAGCGTGTCGCGCCGAAGCGTGGTGGGCCAGAACTGGCGGAGCGACACGCTGAGCCAAAGTTCCTGACCGCAGCGATAATGAGCAGACGGATGAGAAGCATCAGCAGCAGCAGCAGCAGTAACCCCAGACATCCTGCGCTCCTATTGTTTCCACGCGTGGATTCCAGAAGGTCTGGTCACCTTCCCTATAAGGCCAGCTTGGAGGTAGTCGAGGTCTCCTCCTCCTCCTCCTCCGCCGAGGAGGAGGAGGAGGAGGAGGAGGAGGAGGAGGAGGAGGAGGGGAGGGGGAGGGGGACGGGGGAGGGGGGAGGGGGAAGGGGAGGGGGAGGAGGTAGGAGGAGGAGGAGGAGGAGGAGGAGGAGGGAGGAGAGGAGGAGGAGGAGGTAGGAGAGCAGCAGGAGGCAGGAGGAGGTGGAGGAGGAGGAGGAGGAGGAGCGAGGAGGAGGGGGATGGAGAGGAGGAGGAGGAGGAGGAGGGAGGAGGAGGGAGGAGGAGGAGGAGGGAAGGAGGGGGGGAGGTAGGAGGAGGAGGCGGAGGCAGGAAGAGGAGGAGTGAGAGGAGGAGGAGGAGGAAATGGGAGGAGAGGAGGAAATGGAGAGGAGGAGGAGGGGGAGGAGGAGGAGGAGGAGGCGGAGGAGGAGGAGGAGGAGGCGGGGGGGGGAGGAGGAGGAGGAGGAAGGAGGAGAGGATGGAGCGGAGGAGGAGGAGGAGGAGGTGGAGGAGGAAGGAGGATGGAAATGGAGGAGGAGGACGGAGGGCGGAGGAGGAGGAGGAGGAGGAGGAGGAGGAGGAGGGTGTGCCCGTCGAAGGGAACATCGTGAACCCCTGAGGCGGGCTCCGTCCCTGCCCCAGGGGGCTCGACAGGGCACCCCCGAGAGAAGCTCGTCCACGGAGTCGGCCCCTGCCCTCGCAACGAAGGAGGGAGGAAGGAGAAGGAGGAGGAGGAGGAGGAGGAGGAGGAGGAGAAGGAGGAGGAGGAGGAGGAGGAGGAGGGAGGAGGAGGAGGAGGAGGAGGAGGAGGAGGAGGAGGACGAGGACGAAGAGGAGGAGGAGGAGGAGGAGGAGGAGGAGGAGGAGGAGGAGGAGGAGGAGGAGGAGGAGGATGAGGAGGACGACGAAGAGCAGGAGGAGGAGGACGAGGGAGGGAGGGAGGGTGGCAGGGAGGAGGCAGTCCTGCCAAGGGCACGGGCGCGCTCAGCATCATGGCCACAGCCCTGGCAGAGATCTGCCACACAGAGACGGGTGCGGCTCCAACAGCTGGGGGCAGCGACGCCCCTCTTGGGCCCCCGCTGGGGCCTGCACATCCAGGGGCGACCGAAGCGGGCCCCGAACAACCCACGCGCCTTCCGACCAGTGGCGGTGAGACCCAAACTTGTGGGCCCTGCCGGGATGCACCAACCCAGCTCCTTCGAGAGAAGCTTCTTGCCCAGCGCACCTCCCGCGCAGGCCTTGTGCACGCTCAGAGACGGTGGCGTACTCGCCACAAGTGGTGCACAGCAGGAAGCGCAACTGAGAATCGAGCGCCGGAAACTCCCAGAGCGCGCGTCCGCCCGCGAACCACTGGCGAGAATCGCCTTCGGGGGCAGCTGGAGCGGGCGATGGACTCTCAACATCGGCCTCAGGCTCCGCCTGGGCCACTGGAGAGACCTGGACGCCGTGCGCCAGGCTGCCTATGGGAGCTCTGTCCCCGCATCCGAGGGAGCCTCAAGCGAGATCATGGTCGGCGCTTTGGCCCCTAATGCTGAGAACCCCCAGCAAACTTTCAAGAAAACGGCGACTTACAGGACGCGTGGGGGTCTGGGTCCTCCTCGCCCCCCGAGGCTGCCGCCGAGGCCGCTGGCGCGGGCTGCGCATCTCCTTCGCGAACGTAGGCCCGCTCAGGAAGGCCATGGGCTGGGGCCTGCCGAGCACCCGTGGCACCTGGGTCGAGGCTGCGGGGGGTCGGAGTCCTCCATTCTCCTCCTCCTCCCTTTCCTCCTCCTCCCTTTCCTCCTCCTCCTCCTCCTCCTCCTCCTCCTCCTCCTCCTCCCTTTTCTGCCTCCTCCCTCTCCGCTCCTCCTCCTCCTCCGCCTCCTCCTCCTCCTCTTCCTCCTCATTTTCCACCTCTCCCCCTCCTCCTCCCCCTCCTCCTCCCCCTCCTCCTCCTCCTCCTCCTCCTCCTCCTCCTCCTCGTCCTCGTCCTCCTCCTCCTCCTATTTTCTCAGCTTTCAGCTGATGGCATGGGGGTCACCCCCCGATCGCCCCTAGTGGGGGGTCGAACTAGGGCGCCACGCAGCGGTACCGCTGCAGCAGAATCTGCAAAAGTAACTAGGACGCGATGCAACAGGATAAAAAGGAGGAGAAGGCACGCAGGAACCTAAGAACCGTAAGAGGTGAGGAGGGGGAGGAGGAGGAGGAGGAGGAGGAGGAGGAGGAGGAGGAGGAGGAGGAGGAGGAGGAGGAGGAGGAGGGGGAGGGGCAAGTGGCAGCAGTGTGGCGGTGGCGTGGGCGTGCGGCAAAGGCCACCCTCGCCCAAGGTGGACCGCGCAAGGGCCTCTCCCCCTACTCATAAGAAGCCCACCAGCCAGCCCACAGTCCCACGACGGGGACCCTCAAAAACCGAGGCGGGCGTAGGGCACCCGAGCATGGGACCGGTGGCTGCCTGGGGGGGTTCCACCGGGCGTGGGGGAGGTTAGCGCCTTCCTGGAGGTGGCCGCGTGGAGGGAATTTGGCAGCCCCCCCCCGACCCCCACACACAACTTACCTACCCCTCCACTTCGAGTGGACTGGAGCTGCGCTTACACCTGTCAAGCGAAGCAGGCTGAGTTGGGGCACTGAGTGGGGCAAGAGGCGTGTGGCGTTGGGTTGCGGCTCTGCTGGCCGCGGTCGCCCCGATCTACGCCAGGGCGGCGGGCGGCGATTGTGTCCCTCCTCCACCGAAGGTAATGCACCCGTTCAGTCACCCCACGAAGTATGCGAAAGTGGCGCGTGGCGTTGGGATAATTGAAAAGTGTTGAACATGCAGCAACGTTCGAGGGTTCAGACTGAGACTGCGGCGGAGAAAGTTGAGAGCTGCGGAGGAGGAGGAGGAGGAGGAGGAGGAGGAGAAGGAGGAGGAGGAGGAGGAGGAGCAGATTCAGCGATGGGGCTGCGGTTGTGGGCCCTCCAGGCAACTGAGGTCGGCGGGCGGGGGCTGTCTGCCCGCGGCCGCCCTGGCCCTTGCCAGGACGGCCGACGGGGCGGCCCCTTTTGTGTTTCCCCCCCCCCCCCCCCGTTAAGATACCCTACCCGTCCCGCCCCGCCTGAGCGGGGGAGGTACAGGTTAGGAGCCCAGGCCTTCCGGGTGGGGTCCGAACAGATGGTGTCCCTCCTCGTTTGGGTGGATGGGGACGCTCCGTCGGAAAGTTAGTCGCCCCCCCACGGATTATTATGCCATCCGGAGTTGGCGGTGATCCTGACCATTGGCGCGTTTGGGGACCTTGTACTACTGCAAAGTCAGATGACCTGCTTCCGCATGAATCTCTCGGGTTGTGGCTGAGAAGCTGCGGCGGGTTTTGAAGCCCTGCTTGACCGTGCATAGCCTGTTGCTGATGTAATCGCCATGGCTGCATGTGGCGCATGGCATGGGATGAGTGTGGGTGAGAAAGCCACCGCCGTGGACACAATATCTTCGCGCCCCTCGAGGTTAATGCTGTCGCCGTCGCCGTGTGCTGATGCTGCCGTCGTCTGGGAGAGGTGAGGACTGTGCTGTCTGTCGTAGGAGATAGGATCCAACTGCTGCTGCTGCTGCTGCTGCTGCTGCTGCTGCTGCTGCTGCTGCTGATGTCGTGGCAGTGAGTGCGGCGGTCTATGCATAGGATAATGCAAGGGTCGGGGGCCAGTAGTGGGACAGCTGGTGGTGTGATGCGCCGTCTGAGCAACATGGGTAGGATCTGCAGCCGCTGGTAGCAAAACCGGTGTAAGAGGAGTGGACGCTCCTCCTCCTTCTCCTCCTCCTCCTCCTCCTCTCCCTCCTCCCCTCGCCCTCCTCGGGCTCCTCCTCCTTCTCCTCCTCCTCTCCCGTCCTCCTTCCTCCTATCCTCCGCCTCCCTCCTCCCCCTCCCCTCCCTCCCCCCTCATCCGCCTTCTCCACTCCTCCTCCTCCTCCTCCCTCCTCCTCCTCATCCTCCTCCTCCTCCTCCTCTTCCTCCTCCTCCTCCCCTCCGTCCCCCTCCATCCGGGCCTCTCCACCTCCTCCTCCTCCGCCCTCCTACCTCCTCCTCCTCCCTCCTCGCCTCCCTCCATCCTCTCCTCTCCTTCCCCCTCCCTCCTCCTCCTCCTCCTCCTCCTCCTCCTCCTCCTCGGCTCGGAATTGAAAGGTGGGGCTGGGGAACGTGTCCAGACCTCCCGGGGGTGGGGCCCAGGTTGCCACTCACGTTTCGAAAAGAAACACGACGTCGGCGTTCTGGGCTTCAGTTGTTTAACCATGGGCGGCCAGGGGATGCATCGACGGCGATCGAAGACCTAGCTAGGATCAAAGATCTATCGAGGATCGAGGGTACGGTCGATCGAGGATCGAAGGTCAATCGAGGGTCGATGGTCGATCGAGGAACAACGGCATCGCCATCGAGGCCGCAACTGATCCAAAGCGTGGGAGCGAAGATCTCAGGAGGATCGAAGATCGATCGAGGATCGAAGGTCGATCGAGGATCGAGGGCATCGCCATCGCCACCAGCGATACCCTCGACCCTCGATCCTCATTCGATCCTCGATATGTCTTCGATCATCGTTCGATCTTCGATCCTAAGTTGTGTACCCCGGGGCCGACAAAAGACGACACCATATGGAAAAATGGCCCTGGGGAAGGGGTCCAAACCTCCGATGCCATGATTTTCGTTCCAAGCTCTGCCCCCAGAGGCCTATCCACAGGACAAGCTTTTCATCCTGAATCTTTGCTTCGCGCCCCACCGGGAAGTCCATCAACGGCCCCAGCGGGCGCGCCCGGAAGCCGCGCCCCCGCCCAGTTCAGCACGCCTCTCGAAAGAGGAGAGAGCAGGAGGAGGAGGAGGAGGAGGAGGAGGAGGAGGAGGAGGAGGAGGAGGAGGAAAGAAGGGGGAGGAGGGAGGATATCGCAGTTTCGCAGGGGGGCTCCACCTGCGGCCCCAGCGGCTTGTCCCGCAGCCCAGAAGTGCTTGTTCTATGTTTGCCTGCGCGCCTTTTCCCGCAGCCACCTTGTCCGTAATTCCCCGCGGCGGGCAGTATACGAAGAGAGAGAGAGAGAGAGAGAGAGAGAGCAACGCCCTGACCTACACGCGGCTGCACAAGACTGGCCCCCCTTACAGGCATGCGAGCTGTGTGAACAGCTCTGGCGGAGAAAAGGATACGAGAGCAAGGAAACCAGAACTGTCCAACCCCGCGTGCAAAACCAACCCGTCCAGGATGCACAGCCGTCATCTGGTCGCCTGACGGGCGCCGCGGACTGTAGGCTCACCCAGCTGTGTGTGCATCGAAACTTCAGGTTCTGCGGCTGGGCGGCACTCTCGTTCGCCCTTACAGCCAGGCGCACCCCTCTGCAACAATGCTACCTTCTGCCGAACGGTGCACCCGTCTCGCGCTCTTCAATGGGTCGCGGTTGATAGGGCTTTCTGTATGTTGTCTTGCACATTCCGTGTATGTTGTTTTTTTGTCCCAGCACCGCTTGCATGGCTTCGGCATCTTCAACGTGCATCGACTCTGGCCCCCTGTTTTACACTGCATCCGTCAGATATGTCCTGACCCCCACTTGCAACGCCAGGCTGTAATAGATCTAGGCATGTCCCGCCCTCGCTTAGCTTTCCCTGTATTGACTCAACTGGCCGCCGACGAAAAAGTGCGTGCGTGTGTGTGTGTGTGTGTGTCTGTGTGTATGCATGTATGTATGTGTGTGTGTGTGTCTCTCTCTCTCTCTCTGTCTGTCTGCCTGCCTGCCTGCCTGCCTGCCTGCCTGTTTTTTTGTTGTTTCTCTCTCTCTCTCTCGAACGATCGATCCCTCTACTTACGTATCGTTCTCTCTCTCTCTCTCTTTGTCTATTTCTCTCTCATTCTCTCTCCACACGTCTCTCCTCCTCAAGGTGGCCCAAATACAGTGTCACGCTGAACGTCTGCGCTGCCTCTTATTCTCCTCCGCCTCCTCCTCCCACCTCCTCTGTACTCAAACTTCCGTCTCCTCTTCTTCCTCCTCATAATCCTATCCTCCTTGGTCGTCCTCCTTCCTCCCTCCTCCTCCCTCCTCCTCCTCCTCCCCCTCCTCCTCCTCCTCCTCCTCCTTCTCGTCCTCCTCCTCCTCCTCCTTCTCCTCCTCCTCCCCCTCCATCTCTCTTCCTAATAAGAAATCGTCGCACAACCAGACCTGTCGGTGATTCACATTTCGCCTGAAACACGCTCACCAATTTGACAACTCGACGGTTGAATCGTTCAACGTGCGCATGTAGTAAGAGCGGGTGAATTTCAACATGTGACTCTCGCCTTAGCGGCACGCATTCTTGCTTTACGCATGCACAGCAGCGACAAGCAACATGCGTGGAGGATGGGCCACTTTCAGAATGTGGATCTCGCCGTAGCGCCGCGCACAGTCGTCTCAAACGGGATGGTGATTTTCTAATGTGGCTCTCGCCTCAGAGCCGCGCACACTCGTGTTCACCATGTCCAGCAGGTGCCAGGATGGAGAACGGATGGCTTTCAGAACGGGGCTCTCGACTGCAACTTCTGCGCTTCCGGACTCTTCTATACTTGTGCGACAGATGCACGGGCGGAAACCGGGTGGTCTTCGAAACTTTCAGACATGCGGCTCTAGCGTGAGCGACGCGAACATAAATTATTACAGTTTCCGACAATGACACAGATGGACGGCGGGTCGTTTTCAACTTGTGGCTGTTACCTGTCTTGCTTCGCATGCTCGCCTTAAACGCGCACACCAGCTGCAAGGACACAGGGCGAGTCGTTTCCACAATGTGGATCTTGCCTTCGCGCCTCGCGCATTCGTCCGAAAAGGACTGGTGGCTTGTGAATGTGATTCTGGCCTTAGCGCCGCGCGCATTCACCTTACAACCTTCTATCAGCCACAAGGATCGCGGGCCGGTGGATTTTCAGTTGGAACTCTCGACTGCTGCAACTCTGCGATTTGTAACTCCAGATCTCTGCAGACCCTTCGGCGTGTGGGAGACGCTGTCGTCGCCGTCGTCGTAAGTCCCAAGAACATTTAGTAACAAGGCATAGTTCAGTCGAAGGGAAAGCCCTTTCCCTTTATCCTTTCCCTGCCGGGGGGGGGGGGGAGCGGGGAGGGAGGTGGGGAGGGGGGGGGAAAGGTCCCGGGTCATAATACAGTCCCCCGGGGTCCTGGCGGGTCCCCAGGGGGGTCGCCCGCGGGGATCCTGGGGGAGATCCCGCCTTCAGAGTTGGCGGCACCGGCCGTAAGGCCTTCGCAGGAGAAATTGTAGAGAAACTACCTGGAATGAGGGCGGCTCGATTTTCAACATGCGGCTCTCGCTGGAGACCCAGCACCTCTATGACTATATGCCCTGCACGTGTGCGACAACCGTACGGATGTATGGCGGCTATCTTTCAAAGCGGGGCGCTCGCTGAACATTTAGATGAACAGAGAAAGCATTGACATAACCTTTTGGCGATCCGCTCGGATTTCTTGGATCGAGTCTGGACAACTCTCCCTGAAGCGCGGAGCGCGCAAAGGGCGGCGCCTGAGGCGCCGCATGGGGGTCCCCTGGCCGACCTAAGAAATCCTCTCGGAGCTCCGAAACTTTATGTTTATGCCTTTTCCCTACTTCGGACATTCCCTGGACTTTGCGATTCCACCCCGTGGCACTTCTCAGAATCAGAGGGGCTAGGGAATCTGTCTTGGATGGGCCCTCCAGACATTCGGTCTATCGAGGGGGAGAAAACAAATCCGATTAAAGTCGATCCAGACCACTCCAGGGGTCCATCTGGTGCACTTTTTTCCCCCCTGATCCGTTTTTGACGGTCCCGGGGTAAGGGCCCCCCGCAGTAAGCAAGAATATTCTGGTGAAGGACTTACGATAAGGGGACTAGGCGCCTGTCCTCCTTCTCCTCCTCCTCCTCCTCCTCCTCGTCCTCCTCCTCCTCCTCTTCCTCCTCCTCCTCCTCCTCCATCCTCCCTCATTCTCCGTCTCCTCCCCGCAGACCCGGTTTTAGAAACTCGCTGGCTCCAGCCAGAAGACCTCTTGGGCCTAGAAGGTATTACGAGAGCGGCCCGTGTCAAGAGGGTCGCTTTGGACGGGCGCCTGGGCGAGCGGGAACTGCCAGCGAGCACATGCAGGGAGAGAGGACGGCAACAGGGAGCCCAAGTCTCCGACGATCTGATTGTTCCTGTCCGGGCGCCCTTCTACAACTTCGGCCGCCGGGGCCCGGTGCTGGGCCCTGGGACCAGCAAGCGTGGATCCGTGGCGACGACCTACCCCCGTAGTGAAGCGGTCGGGACCTCTGAGGCCGCGGATTGAAACGATCAGATCGGCGGATGTCAGGGTGTGCTGCAGCACCGCAGGCGCCCCCATGGATTTACCCCAGTCCTCCTACTCCTGCTCCTTCTTTTCCTCCTCCCACCATCTTCAGTGTCCTCTCTCTGCTTCTATTTCTCATTGCCAGTATTAGTATGTTTCGTCTTCTTCTTCTGCTCAGACCTCCTCCTCGTCCAGGACCTTCATCGCCGTTCCTTCACATCCTCCTTCTGCGGAAGAAGTCCACCAGCACGTCCGCCACTACACCTCTACCAGGCGCCAGTGAAACGGCGCTCTTCGGGTGCCCAAGCAGGAGCCCAGGATGTCAAGTCGCGCTGATTTAGACGAAGAATGGACGGCATAGACATGAACTTTCAACGGTCCGCGCGGATTCCTTGGATCTGCACTGGACCTCCATCCCTGGGGGCCCAGCGCAGATCCAAGAAATCCGTGCGGACAGTCGAACATGTTTTATGCCGATTGCTTTCAATCGGTGAAGTTGCTTTTCTCACAGCGTCGTCTCCTAGAGGTCTCGACCCATTCCCTGGGTCCCGCTTTTCATCTTGAGTGGGTTTTTGAAGATCACTCGGTCTGGTTGAGGCCCACAGAATCCAAAAACAGCGAAAGATCTCAAGTTTCGCAGGGGTCAAGCGCGGATCCAAGAAACCTACGCGGTCCGTCGAATTTGTATGTTTATGGCGCTCCTTCTTTGGAGGCCTCCCAAATGAGGTCAAAGTAGACGGGGTCGGAGGATCGGGCCGCGTCGGTGCATCGGCGACGTCGGCGATGCATCGGCGTCGTCGGCGTGGAGGAAATCGGGATCCACATCGAGCCGCATCGCCGATGCATCGGCGACGCGGCGCGATCCTCCGACCCCATCTGCTGTGGCCCCACGGGGCCGGTTCCAGAAACCTGAACCCCCAAAAATTGCCATCTCCATGGGAGCGCATCTTTATCTCCGCCGCCTTCCGCCGGCCTTCCGCCGCCTGTCGGGGAAAGAAACATTACATAAACATAACAACTCGGAGGTCCGAGTTGTTATGTTCATGCCATTCTTCGTTCCCCTAGCTTTACGCCGACAAAGACCTCGCAACCTCGCAGCTCATCGGATGTCCTCGAGGGCGAGGCCCTCTCTGCTGTGTGAGCGCCTCGCACTCGTGGGGCCCGAACCTGGCGGGCTCGGGCGCCGGCCCTCGCGGCATCGCTGTGATTACACGGGTGGCTGGCCAGCTGGGCGACGACCGAAAACGGGTCTCACGCGAGATGACACGTCGACCTCGCGCCGCGGCCAACGCGGGCCGCCAGCGCGGCACGCCACCGTGGAGACGAGGGCACTCACGCGCGAGCTCACGCGCGCAGCTTGCGCGCCGATGTCGGCGCAGACGGCCCTCCCTTCCCAGACATCCGACGTCTCGATTTTTTCGAGACACGGGCCCCCAACCTCCCGACCACTTCCCTGGGACCGGTTTTTCATCCCGAGTCGTTTTTTGACGGTCCCGAGGCCCGGCGAGGGCCTCCAGAGGCCGAAAACGATGAAAAACCTTTGTCTCGATTTTTTCGAGACGCCCGAGGTCTGGGTTTCTGCGTCGGGAAGTCGTGCTCCCGCCCCAGACCCTGACGGTCGGGAGGTCCGGGGAGGCCCCCTGAGGTCCACGGAGGTCCCCGGCCTCTGGAGGCCTCCGCGAGGCCCGAGAGGGGCCAGCAACGTCCGAAAACCGCCCCCCCTCGACCCTCGAGGGAGGGCAAGACTTGGCACAGGTGACGAGCGCTCCAGAACATCCTGCTCCTCCGCCTGAATTCCTGGAAGCCTGAAGGCAAGGAGGTCTGTTAGACGTGGCCCTCCCTCCTCCGCCTGCTCGTCCTCCCAATCCCGCTTCCCAGACATCCAGCTGCTCCAATTTGTTTGGTGCATGGACCCTGGAGGTCCGGACCACTTCTCCAGGGCCGGTTTCTCGTCCTGAGTCGTTTTTTGACGCTCCCGAGGCCCAGCGAGGGCCCCTGGAGGCCGAAACCTGTCAAAAACCGCCTGCTCCAAGTTTTTTGGAGCGTCGGATCTCAGGGTTCCCTCTCCCGCGCACCAGCTCGTTCATCGTCTCCAGGGTCTCCGAGTGCAGGCCCTTGGAGGTCGAGATGAACGGCACGCCGGGCGGGACCAAGTCCTGCGGGTCACGGTCGCTCCCCCGAGTGGCCCCGAAGAGGGGAGGAGCAAAGGCAGCAGCGCTGCACTGCACAGGAGGTGGCAGGAGCAGAGGCAAGATGCCGCGGATGCTGCGGAGGGCCGCCACGCAGCTGGGAAACTGCGCCAACTCTGCCAGCAGGCCTGGCCTCTGCTCCGGTTACAGGGAGCAGGAACAGGAGGAGGAGGATGAGGAGGAGGAGGAGGAGGTGCAGCGGAAGGTGTAGGCGCAGCGGCAGCACGAGGAGGCGCTGCTGGATGAGGTGGGGGCCAATTGAAAGAGAGAGGAAGATCCGCGCGATCGTGCGACTTTTCTTGTCCGCGGAAAAATGGTTTGCAGGCGCTTGCGTAACGATGCCTGCTACGCGCCAGGAAATTAGAAGAAGGGGTGGTGGAAGAGACAGAGAGAGAGAGAAGGTAGGAACAACGGAGGAATAATAATGGGGATCCGGACGGGAGGGGGAGGGTGGGCTGGGCATTGGGCAAGGCAGGAACGTGGAGAGGGGAGGACAAGCAGGAGCAGGAGAGACAAAATAACAGAACATGTGCGAGAGGGTGGAGCGAGAGATGGGGGGGGCAGGGCCCAACACAACTGCAAAATTTGGAGGCCTCCCCCATCCTCCTCCCTCCTCCTCCTTCTCCTCCTCCTCCTCCTCTTCCTGCTCCTGCTCCTCCTCTTCCACTGCAAACCTTACAGAGCCGCGAACCCCGACCTTGGAGCGCAGGTGGGGAGGACCTGCGAAACAGAAACAAGTTAGGAGGGGTACGCAAGCAAGGCGTCTCATCGGTCACCGTACCGCGAGGCACGAGTTGGAGAGTTCTCAGGTATTGGGTGATCTACAACGCCTACGGCGAATCACCGCCGCCCATCGCCTTTTGGAAACGCCAGTGCGGCCAAACGTTGGGCCAAAGTGCAGCCAAGCTATTGGACTATGTGCTCCCCAAGCCGTTGTGGAACCCCTTGGGGGAACACTGGGAAGAGGAAGAGAAAGGAGGCGGAGAGGAAGGGGAAGGAGGAGGAAGAGGAGGACTCCTGAGGCCTCCTTGGGGCTTCCTGGGGACCTTTTGGGGGGCCTCTTGGGGGCCTCCTGGGGCCTCTTGGGGCTCGCCTGAGGGCAATCTTGGAGGTTTCTGGGGCCGTCTTGGGGCCGTCTTGGGGGCATCTTGGGCTGTCTTGAGGCCCTCTCGGGCCGTCTAGCAGGCCTCTTGAGGGCATCGTGGGCCGCCTTGGGGCGGTCTGGGGGGCCCATGGGCCCGCCTGGGAGCGTCGGAAGCCCGAACAGGCGAGGACGCCAATCCATTGGACAATGTACACAAGGAACATCAAGAATTCTGGGCGCTTCCTGGGCAGTCATGAGTCCCTCTTTGGGCGCTTGAGGGCCGCCTTGGAGGTCTCTGGGGCCGTCTCGGGGCCGTCTTCGGGCCTCTCGAGTTGTCTTGGGGCCATCTTGGGCCGTCTTGCGGGCCTCTTGGGTGCCTCTTGGCCCGTCTTGGGGCGACCTTGGGGGCTCATGGGCTCGTCTTGGAGCGTCGGAAGCCCGAAAAGGCGAGAACGCTGAACCCTTCGAAAGAAAACATGAGGAACATCAGGGATGTTGGCCTCCTGGAAGTCCTCTGGGAGCCCTCCTACGCAGCGTCTAAGAGGCCTCTTGGGCCGTTTGGAAGATAGATTGGGCCGTCTTGGGGCCATTTTGGTGCGCCCGACGCCGCAACTGCAAATTGTGACCACCGTCCGCCGTCTTGCGCCGTCGTCCGCCGACCTCTACCCTTCCTCCGCCAAGGAACCCCCTCTGCAAAGTCGGGGGGGGGAACGTTCAGGCTTGAGGCTGAAACTGGAGGCGGTGGCAATCGTGACGCGCCTTTTCCTCTTCTCCGAAGAGATTTGAATCACGTTGGCGCTTTCACCATCTTGCTTGCGTCTTTGGGCCCCGCCGAAATAGGCGGGACTGGCGCAGCCGGGAAGAGCTGGTACCACTGTCTGAGTTCTTGCGAGGACTTGTCAAGTTTTGACTGTTTGCGGGGGTTAGCAGGTTAGCAGTATTCGTGCCTGGCGGGGAGGGTGGTCGTCATCCGGACTGGCACGCTTATCGTTTCCATCCTCCCTCCGGTCCTAGCCTCCCGCGTAGCGAAGTGATCAATCGATCTGATTGGTTAGCTCTCGTTTTCTGTCCTGTTCCTTTGCGAACGTAGTCGCAACACCACCACACGCGTCGGCACGGCCGGTCCATTTTGTCCGACCCGAAACTGCACTGACCGTCTCCCAGCAGCTACGCGGACAGCGGGATTGGCTTTCACACGCCACGGCTCTCGCATGAGCGCCGCGCACATATGTCCTTACAGTTTCCAACTGCACCGATGGAGGGGGGGGCTCTGGCTTCGGCGTCGAACTTGTTTTAACTGTTCCCAACAACTACACGGGCTGTTCATTACCTCGCCGTCGAAGGTTTCGAAGCATCGCCGAATACACTGCGACAACCGAGCGCCGCCGCTATCTTGTGCATCGGCCTCAACATAGCTGCAAGGCGCTCGCCAGCGTTCAGGAAATGTTCTGCAGGACTCGCGCTGGCATGCGCGCGCAAGCATTCAAGTTCTCCCTCCACGCACTCACACGCCGAAAGAATACGTAATTCAAAATGCGTTCGTTGACTCCTGGGGTCTATCCTCGACATCGCCCCGCCACCCAGCAGCGGCAGATGTGCGGGGGCAAGGTCTTCCACGCGCTCACTTGCTGTCCGAAAAACGCTGGGCGGATCAATGACATGCGTTGCGCGCGAGCGGTTCCCAAAGTCCCACTTTCGTCTGGTGAATCGTCCTGATGCCGCCACTTACAAGCTTTTGCTTCAGACACCAAATTTTTTTGAAGCACGCGGGAGGCGCGGTCGACGAGGGTCTTTTGCAGCTTCTGCTTAGCACCATGGACGGCGTACAATTCTGGATCCACTTTCCTGGCGCCGCCGCCACCGAGGTCACAAACAGGTCCACGGTGTGCAATAGCGGGTTGGTCCTCTGTCACGATAGCCGCTTGCAGCAAGATCAGGTCTTTGGTCCGCGGCAGGAGCCGATGTCGCAGGCTCCCTATCTTTATTCGCAACCTCCACGATCGAATTGACCAGGCCTTTGTTCTCGCTGTTCAAGTCCGCCCGCTGAAGCAGAGGGGTTTGCCCGAGGCGCTTACTCCAGGAAAGCATCTCTTCACGTGCGGCATCGCGCCCGCTCTGCTAAGAACCTTCGGCTTGCGCAGTCTTGACCGCATCAAAAGGGCGTCGCGCGGCATCTCCATGGGCAACTCTCTGGGCGCCCTCTTCCGCTGGAGCCAGAACTGTCCAGCAGCTGTCCACGTATCTTGCACGTCTTACATGTCTGGTCATATTTGAAACAACTTCAGTCGGGACCCCATTCTGAAAACATGTTGCCTCCCTCCGAGAAGCTGTGGCACGATTTGAAATATTGCGGATGAAAGAAAATCCAAAGCGATTGCCACCTGTGCAAAGCGTTCCAGCCTCTATCCCTGTAGTGTTTGCAACCTTTTGAAATTCAGGTGCGCGGCGCTACGGCGAGAGCCATACTTTGAAGACGCCTGGCTTTACATCAAGGCGCTGCTGCACAATACTAGATAGTGTCAACCTTCCAGAGAACTTCGGCGATAACATCATCATAAAACCATTCCCGCCTCCATCCGCGCAGTTGTGGCAGCTGTTCCAACACATGTGCGCGGCGCTGCTGCGAGAGCCATCTTTTGAAAACGACCCACCCTCCATCTGGGTAGCGAAATGCTGGAGCATTTGACGAATGTACGCGGCACTCGGGCGAGAACCGCATGTTGGAAACGACCAGCCATCCATCCGTGGACTTGTTCGACATGATGAGCGTCGGGGGACGCACTTGCAAAGAAATTTCAAGCGAATCACCCAGCCAGGCCAACGGACACGTCTGGTCGCACGACAGGAAGAGTCATTCTCACGTTCTCGGGTGCAGCAAAAGCCCTAAGTGTAAACAAAACATTGGAAAATGATGATGTGTTTTTTTGCGCCGCACGGTTTCGATCAATGGTTTACTCGCAGGCGCGCGGCCTGCTGCGCTGCCTTCCAGGCAAGGCATTGGCGCAAGAGTTCGTGTCGTGTTATTTGGCGCACGTCGCCGTTCTGGTTTGTTCAGGGGCTTCGCAAAAGTGCTAAGCCATTCGTTGGGTGGTCAGTTCGGTTGCCGTTGTTCGCCATGGCGTAGTGCATTCGTTTCATGTCCGATTTGCCGCCCATAACACCTCCCACCACCCGCTCCTACAACGAATGCAAAGAGTTTCTGCCGTCAGTCGCGCGGTCCTGCGTTTCTGTTGACGCTGGGTCAGGCGCCACTCCGATTTTCCAGTTGTGCCGACAGTGGCTCCTATTATATAGCTTTTGTCCCTACTACTCCGCATTGCCCCCATCCCCCGTCTTGTTCAGGGGGTCGTTCGGGCCCAACCCCTGCCCCCACTTTCTCCACTGGTCAGTGTGGGTGTCGTTTTCATTGCGCGCGGAGGGGGGCGGCGGCCTGCGCGTCGACGCCATCGCGATTGGCACCGCTGCAAAGGCGCGTAGCTCGACTCGATTGCGCCCCTCCATGAGGACCACGCGCCGCGAGGGCCGCGAGACCGGGAGCCACGGGCCGCCACGGGGCACAGACCGCCGAGCCACCAGGAGGGAGCGGCGCGCACTCCAGGGAGCACAATTGGCGCACGGCACCACCAGGGGGGAGCCTCGGACCATGGGGCTCTGACGCGCCCCAGGAAACGACAGCGGGGCCACGGGGTCACGGGAGCACTGGGGGGCGAATCCGCAAGGGCGGCGTGGAAATGCCACGGGCCACGGGCGCTACGAACCAGTGCTGGGCGCGGCCGCGGGCTTCGCAAGCAAGAGGTGCTCGCCGCCACCCGCAGTGCCGACGGGATCGTTTTTGGTTGTTTTCAGCTCGGGGTCTCTCGGAAGCCCCGTTTTGGTCCCGAGGTCGGCCGGCAAACGGCCCGGGGCGGAAAAACCGGCCCGGGGACGAGGTCGAAAGCTCGTGGGGCCCATCCACAGAAAAAACTCCCGCTGCCAGAACTCTGGACAGGACGGCGACGAATGGTGGGGCACGGGGCGCCCTGCGACGAGCAGAACCGCACTTCCGCTTGGGTGGGGGGGGGAAGGAGGAGGGAGGAGGAGGGCGGCAGTAAGGGGGCGGGGGAGGGAGGCTGGAAGGAGGCGGAAGGAGGACGAGAGGGGGCGGGGGGGGGAGGGAGGAGGCAAGGAGGGGTCGGGGGGGAGAACGCGGGAAGGAGGAGAAATTTCGGGGGAGGAGGACTGGGAGGGGGGAGGGGGGAGGGGGGCTCGGAGGAACACGGGGGGGGGGGGCGGGCAGGAGGACCGGGAGGGAGGCTCGGAGGAGGAGACTCGGGAGGGAGGTTGGGGGGGGAGGCTCGCGGGACAGGCCGACCAGGGAGGAGGGGGGGGCTCGGGGGAGGGGCCGGGGGAGGTCCGGAGGGAGGGGGGCTGGGGGCGGGGGACTGGAGGACCGGGGGGGGGACTGGGAGGGAAGCTCGCAGGAGCAGGCTTGGGACAAGAAACGTAGGCCCAAACATCCGATGTCGTGATTTTTGGAATACGCGGTCCCCGGACGTCCCGACCTTTTCACGGGGGCCGCGTTTCATCCCGAATCGTTTTTCGCGCCCCTGGGGTCCCCAGAGGCCCCCCGAATCATAAAAATTGGAAAAACCTCCGTCCTGTTTTTTTCCAAAACGTCGGAGGTCTGGGGTACACGATGGCAGCGACGACGATGGCAGTGGCGTTGGTGGATTTCCCCGGGCCACCCCTCGGCCTGCGTAGTCTGCTTTAGTCGTGGTGCCCCTGGTCGGCCCAGAGAGCGCGCCTGCCGCGCATGCCCCCGTCGCCCTGCGGCCTTGCCTTGTCTGAGAAGCAGCGAAAGCGCGAGCGTGCGAGGAAGCGGGCCCCGCGGCACTCAAGAGAATATCTTCATCGCCTCCCTCACGGCCTCGTCCTCGGCAGCCTGGGCGGCCGCGCTCTTCATGGGCTGTTTTTTCTTCCTCTCCGACACCTCGCCGACGACCTTGCTCTCCAGCTTCGCGTTCGTCAGAGCGGCGGTCTCGGACGCGAGCTGCGGGGTCAGCAGGTGGGTGTACTCAAGGAGCTTGGCCATGTCGTCCTTCGCGAGCGTACCCTTGGCGTCCTTCAGCTTCGCCCCCTCGAGGAGCACCTCGAGGCCGTCCGGGCCGAAGAAAATCTTCGCCTGGCCAGGCCCCGCGGCCCCGCCCGTCGCGACTCTCGCGAAGTACTTCAGCTTGGCGACGACACCAGCGAGCTGCTTGTCAGCGTTGCACACGGTCAGGTCGGGGGCCCTGCCGTGAGCCAGCTTGCCGAGAACTCTCACCACGGCCTCGTGCTTCGCCCGCGCGGGCAGCGACGCCAGCTTGAAGGCGGGCGTCGACGTCATCTTGTTCAAATCGTGCAGAGCCCCCGCCTCGGTGACGGCCCTCGCGGGCGTCGGGGGCGCCTCGTGGATATTCAACGGCAGGCGCAGCTCGCTGCCCAAGCTATCTCCACGCCGAACTCGCTGTGGGAGGTCAACCACGAAGCCTTCTTCGCCTTGGTCCCGGTCTGGACCAGGTTCCCCGGACCCTTGCCAGCACCTTTGATGTGCTCCTCGCACGCCCCCCTCGCCACCTGCGCCTTCTCGCATATCGCCGGCGCTGCGGCCGGGCCGTCGGGGTACACCGGCGTGGAAGAGACAAATTCCTACGAAGAAGCCCATCGGAGATATGAACGACACCACGACACCGCAACACCACAACACCACAACACCCACGCCAATGCGGTCCAGAAGGGGGGGGAGACGATTTGTCAACGCCCTGGCTGGGGCCCCTGTTGCGCGGCGCCCCTAAAACATCCCTGTAGTGGTGCGTTGGCCCGCTGTGTGAATATGCGCCTAATGAGTCTGCTCACTGCATCACGCGCAGTGCGGGACGCCAGATGTGGTTGCACTTGCAGACGGGGGCTTGTGTGACATTCGCGTGGCTGGGCGCAGATTATTGTTTCATGCGCTGCATCATACACAACGTCAATGCGCCCCCTTCTCCTTGCAGTTTTTCACTGCGTCAATATGACATCATGAACTGCATCGTGCGCAACGTCAAGCATGGCACGCACGGCACCCATGTCTGGTTACAGCAGGTGCATCACGACATCAGCAGCACTACGCCATGTCAGCACGGGCACCACAACACCACAACACAACAACACAAACGACACCACAACAACACAACACCACAACACCGCAACACCATCACAACTCCATTGAACCACTACGACACCCACAACAACACCACGCCACGACAACGCCGCGACAACGCCGCTACATCACCGCCCCATTATCACAACGCCGCCGGAACAACACCACGAATGCAAAACGAAACAATACTCCGCCACCGGGCCGAAACCACACGCACAACCATTCACCGCGACACCACAGTAACAGACAACACCCCTTTACGACAACACTGAAACACCACGAATGGATTCGTGGTGTCTCGGTGTTGTTTTAAAAGAGTGTTGCCTGTTATGTTGTGGTGTTTCGGTGTTGTCGTAAAAGGAGTGTTGTCTGTTGTTTTGTGGCGTCGGGGTTGGGGCCGTGCAAGTGTACTCGCCCGAATCCTCACCGCGCTGAAGAACAAGAACCGCCGGGGTCCTCGCACCAGAGTTTCGTCAATTTCTCCTGCTTCACCGCAGCGGCCTTCCAATGCGCCGCGAAACGCCGGTCTGCCTCCTCCGCCGCGGACGACACGCTGTCCGGGATATCCTGGCCGAGGAAGCTGAAGTTGATCTTCCTGCGGGCGGGGGGCGCGTCGATCGACGGGATGCCGTCCACGTCTTCCAAGCAGGCCGCCTTGCTGTGCTCGAGCGCGTCGCTGGTCATCTCGGCCTTGCTGAATTCCGCAACGTGCGCGTCGATCGCGGTGGCGACGCGCGTCGAGAGGATCTCCAGCACCTTGTCGCCGAAGAGCTGCTTCCCGATGTCGCTGGTCTCCACCACTTCGGCGATCGCCGCCGCGGCCTCCGCCGCCGACGTCGTCGCCAAGATCCGCCGCGCCACCGCGGGCGCCGAGCCAGGCTCTGAGCCTTCCCCTGCGAAGGAGCCATTCGCCGCCGGTTTGTTTTCGGGCATCCGCCGCCGATTTGTTTGACAACTGCGAGTTCCCCACCGGGATACTTGAGGGACATCATGTAACCGGAAGAGGCCACGGATGTCCTCCACGCGCGCCCGGAGTGCCTTTGCACGACGGGCCTGGCTTGCGTGGGCGGCCTCTATAGCTAACGCAATGAACTCACTGGGCTCTACCCACGAGTCGATCTCCGGCGGCGAGAGACCGTGCACGCGTCTATCTCGGAGGGCCGTCATAGCAAAAAAGTGTTCCACCTTGCTACACCACGCGCGCGCCAGGATCGCAGCACGCTCTGGACTGTACAACCCCATGTCGTATCTGCTACTCATGGTGATATGATGGGTCGCCTTCGAGCTGCGGCACCATTGTTTGGCCGTCTCCCCGCAAGCGGCGCCGCTGATGCAGTCGGCGGCCTTGCCCTTGTGTTTGTTGGTCCACTCGCCGCCCAGAACGATGACCCGGAACGAAGACGGCTCCGAATCAGGCGCGGTTTCCCACTCCACCCTGACATTCTCGAGTTCCCCCCACACGGCCGCCGCCCCCGACAATCCGGGAGTTTCGGGAAAACGTCGGAAGAGGGGGGGGGACGAGGAGGGAGGCTCGGAGGAGCGCCGGGGAGGCTCGGAAGAGTAACGGGGTGGGGGACTTGCAGGGGGGATCGGAGGACGATGACCGGAAGGGAAGTTCGGGGAACGACTGGGAGGACGATCGGGGGAGTACTAGGGAGGGAAGTTCGGAGGAGGACATCTGGGAGGGGAGCTCGGGGGAGGAGCGGGGGGAGGGCGTGGAGGAGGACTGGGGAGAGAGGCTCGGAGGGGGAGGAACGGGGGGGACGCTCGGGAGGGAGGCCCAGAGGGAGGCCGAGCAGGAAGGAGGGAGGCCCGGGGGAGTACTGGGAAGGAGGCTCGGAGGGACAGGGACTGGGAGGGAGGCCCGGAGAAGGACTGGGAGGGAAACTGGGAGAAAGAGCGCGGGGGAGGACTTGGAGGGAGGCTCGGAGGAGGAGGTCTGGGACCCAGACCTCCGATGTCGAGATTTTCTCGATACGCAGTCCCTGGACGTCCCGACCCTTTCCCCGGGGCCGGTTTTCATCCTGAATTGTTTCTTCGCGTTCCCGGGGCCCCCCAGAGCGCCCCCGGAGACCGAACATCATGCAAAATCACCGTCCTGAATTTTTCAAAACATCGGAGGTCTGGGGAGGGAGGCTCGGGCGGAGGCAGGGTCCCAAACGAGACCTCGCCCTCCATGGGCGCCACACGGGAGCCCAAACGAGGGACCCAAACGAAGGGCCCAAACGAAGGGACCGAACGGGGAGACTGCGGCCACGAGCGGCCCCAACGAGGGACCCACACGAGGGGCCAAACGAAGGGCCCAAACTCGGGACCCAAACGAGAGACCCAACGGGAACCCAAGCGAGGGACCCAGGCGAGCCCCCATCCCACCCCTCCTACTCCGAGCCTCCCTCCGATCCCCGCCCCCTCCCCCCAATCCTCCTCCGAGCCTCCCTCCCAGTCCTCCTCCTTCGAGCCTCCCTCCCCGTGTTTCGCCGAACACTCCCTCCCAGTCGTCCGAGGCCCTCCCCTTTTCCCCAGACGCGGAGCCTCGGTCGCAGCTGGACGAAAACCCCGCCCGAAAAAAACGACGCCGGTACACGGCGGGACAACCACGGGGGGGGCCAGCAGCAAGGCCAACGGCCCCGTCTCCAGAAGGGGGGCGGCGCTGCAAGCGTCAGCCCAAAGATCGTCGATGCTGTCGTCCTCCCCCTCGAAACCGTCGTCGTCGTCGGAGGTCTCGTCGGGATCAAGGTCGCTGTGCGCGGTGCCGTCCACAGGGACGCCCTTCCGAGCCAACCGGAGCCTCTCCAAGCCATCAGCTGCCCACGGCGCGTCCTTCGGGCCCAGAGAAGGGCGCGTGCCGCGAGCGTGTTCCGACGGAACGGCGCCTGGAGCACGTCGGCATACAGGCGGGAGCCTCGACAGGAAGGTCCGGAGGGGCACCGCCGGGACATCCGAGGCCCAGCGCCGATGGCCGATGCAGCGGAGGTGGGGCACCACAGAGATGTCTGGCACGGGGACCGTCGCCATGAACCCGCAGGACTTGTTCACTGTGTAGTCGACGTAGAACACGTGAGGGTGCCAACGAGGAGCCCAGGGAGAGGCAGGGAAGGCGAAGTCGTCCGTGTCGAATTCCTCGTCCACTCGGTCGCACCTGGCCACGAAAACGTGGGGCGGCTGCTGCATGGCGAAGACGAACATCCAAACCTGGGAAATGAAAAGCACGATGCGCACCGCGCTCGCCTCGGCGCTGCCGGCACCCCCAGGCCGTAGGTCCAGAGCCAGGAAAGCAGGTATATCAAAATCCGTTCTTGCATCTACACTGCAATTGCGTACCGCCGGGAGGCGAGGACCGCCCAGCGGGCGGCGGGAAGCGGCGGGCGAGCAGGCGCGGCATCGACGCCTGTTCCTCGCGGCCCGCGCGCCACAAGAAGACGGCCATCTCGAAGTACTCGCGGTGCCCAGCCACTTCACCAGCCCACTTGGGAAGTTTCTCCGCCACGGCCTGCTCAATCTCCTGCTCCTCGAGGGCCTTGGCGAGGTGCGCCGACATAGGCATGGGGGCCTTCGCCGCGGACAGAGAGAGGAGAGGGCGCTTCGCGGCCTCCTGCTGGATCTCATCCCTGACCGCACACAAGCTCTGTACCAAGGTGCCGATCTCTCGCGCCAGCTGCGCCCGTTTCAGTCTGGCGTGCGCGGCCGCCTGTTTCTGGTAGCGTTCCTTGACCAACGGGCGCAGGCTGGCGCACCGAACCCCATGCTTCTGGAAAATGGACCGCAACTTGTCCCTCCGAGGCCGCGGTCGCCGCTCCTTGTCCTTCACTAGGTTGGACAGGTCGCGGACGTGCATGGTGCATGCGTCTACCGCCCGCTTTTTCTGGGCATCTCCCCCTGAGTTTGGCGATCTTGGTTTCCAGTTTCAGGGCGTCGTTTTCCAAGGCCGTCGGGCGGGGCAGCAGCTTCGCAGCAGCGTGGACCATGCTCCTGGCCAGCAGCGTCTGGAGCTCGTGCTCGGGGTGGTGGGGACTCAAAAGAACAGCGCTCACGCGCAGCTGCTCCGCGATCTGGGGCGTCCAAGGCACGTCTGCGAGCAAGCGCGCGACCTCCTGCAACTCGAACCCGTTGTGGCCCATGGCCATGAGATCGTGTAGCTGTCCAGACACCTGTTCCTCAGGCCGCGCCCCCGCTGCCAGCGCGTCCAGATTGGCAGCTACGCCCCCGCGACACAAGGAGAAGGGCACGGCCTCCGCCGTGTCGAACACCCGGAACTGAAGGAAAGCGCGCGCCCGGTGCCCTCCTCGAAGACACTGCTCCCGCAGTTGCAGGCCAGGGACCTGGCACGCGCTGCCGAACGTGTGCCACAGGTCCGGCGCCAGACAACTCAACTGCCACATTGCAGAATGAGTGCTCGTTCGGAGGTCGCCCAATCGTTGCGCCACGCGGCCGTATTTCAGAAGCAGGGCCATCGCCGCGTCGGGAACTGTCGCCACGAGCGCGGCTCGCACCAGAAACGCCCACCTGTCGGGCTTCAAGCGCCAGGATCCGTTCCTGTAGCGGCCACCTTTGGGCGACCTCTGACGCATGAACTCAAAGAGGTCGCATATCCCTGTGAGGCGCGCCGCCGCCATTGACCTCGCGGATGCCCCGGCGGCAAGCCACCGAGAATCGGAGAAACGCCGAAACCGCCGCGCGGCAAGCAAAGTAGTGCACGTCAAGCCCACGCAGTCGACCAGCTCGCCAGCGGCCTCGCTCACCCACAACTGGCCGTCGAGGAAACGG